CAATCAGCCGCACAACCGCAAGTCGCCGCAGCTGTAGAGCAGCCCATGGTTCAACAGATACCCATGGCGAGTTACCAAGTTCCACCACCTGAAAAGTTCAACTTCAAACCCGAAGAATGGTCCCATTGAATCAAGCATTTCGAACGATTTCGAAAAACGACTGGTCTCGACCTAAAGGACGGCGAGAGCCAAGTGAATACTCTGATTTATTCGATGGGCCACAGGCGACCCAAGCTCTCAATGCTATCCTTTTTTTCACTTTTCTGCGAACGTTCAGCCTAACGTGGCATATGGCATATACGATTACATAATGACCGAATTTGACTACGCGAAACGTGACTCTGGCCTTGCAGCATATGGAGGTGTTGTGTTACAACGGTTTGAATTTATAAAGGTTTGTATGAGAATGCAACGGCTTTGCTTGAAAAGTCAATTATTCTTATATTTTGTGAATAAAATCTACTTAGCCTGTTGATGTGTTGTATTCTTTGTTGTTTGCCAGCTCCTCAGGCCGATCTAACGCGATTTCGGCGAGTTATCGTTCTGTGGGTTNTTTGTATGAGAATGCAACGGCTTTGCTTGAAAAGTCAATTATTCTTATATTTTGTGAATAAAATCTACTTACCCTGTTGCTGTGTTGTATTCTTTGCTGTTTGCCAGCTCCTCAGGCCGATCTAACGCGATTTCAAAATTCGGTCTTTATGTAATAGTATATGCCATATGTCACGTTAGGCTGAACGTTCGCACAAAAGTGAAAAAAAAAAAAAGATAACATTGAGAGCTTGGGTTGCCTGTGCCCGGGGTCGAAGTTTTCACTTCTTTTTCATTAGGATCGCATCCACTTCAGGAGCTAAAACAACGGTGAGTAACTCAACTCAATGTGAACTTTTTATTGGTGATGGAAAAAAATATACGGTTTTTGGAGTGACCTTCTCCTTTAGCAAATTTAAAAACCCTTTGTCCATCTGTAGAAGGCGCTTTTGTGCCAAGTGAATCGCGAATCAACAAGTTTACGGTTTTACCGGTTCACCGCTCACACACACAACAGGTCAGCTGTTCGTGTTTTTCCTGCTCAAACTCCTGTTTCCCGTTGTCCCGTAAATCGCGTTTTACAAGTTTCGCGCCAAGCAGAAAGCTGTACCACTGTTGCCAAAAGCATTGTCTGTTTCTTCAATACATGCAACGTTTTCATTGGTCAATGGTTTTATACTGGCTTATGAGTGGTCCGTTCATTGAATGACAGCACTTAATTATATACAAACAGAACCCTGCCTGAAACATGCTGTGGTTATCAAGACGATGTAAACATGGCGTCTGTGCTTCGAGTTGGAAGTCTGCTACGTGGAATTTCTCGAGGGTATGGCGTCGAAACGTGCCTTAAACGATATGCCTTTCTTTCATGCACATCGTGGCGTCACACTAGCTCAAGTTCAAGGTGGGTTTGGTTTTATTAGGACCTCAAATCGTAGTAGTAGAAGAAATTCGACCGTAGCATATGCTTCTACAGGGATCTTTGATCACTGATCACGAAACTTCGTTTCTATATCGACTAATGAAAATTTTTGGGATTTTGCTTGATCGTTTTAAGTGATTGTTTTTTTCAGTGTTTTTCTCAAAATCTTTGTTGTAGTGATTACAAGTTGACCATCTCATTGTAATTTAGAACGTTTTGTTGAAGTTGTGTTGTGATTATTTTCGTTCGCACTTGATTGTTTTCAAATTTGCCTGACTAAACAATATTTGTCCGTGTGTTAACGATAACACAAAATATGAACATCGGCCATGCATAACGCATCGGAGAAGACACAACATACATGACCTTTTGCTCAATTTAATTTTTTACTGTCCAATCAGGTCCCCTGGTCCCAGAGGTTTTTCTTGATTTTTCTTCCTTTCGCGAAGCGGCGAACACGAGTCGTGAAGCGGCGAGAAAGAAAAACCTCAGGTTACCTTGGACTTGAATCTCACTTTCATGCAGATGCCAGCTGTCAAACGTGTCAAATTGATAATTACAAAAGGGACCAATGGCAACTTAGCAATCATGTGCTTATCAACTGCTAATGGTTTCCACTCGGGGGGTGGAGAGTGGTATCAGTTGACCTACTTGGCAGGGGTCAATGCGTGTGATTAATGTTTTCGTCTGCAACGATCGTGAAGGTTCTGTCTTGTTAAACATTACTACACAGCATGTTTCTCCACTTTCTCGTTTTGTAAGAAGGACTCGGGACTTCCGAATAGCAAGGCATAAGCTTCCTGTCTTCGCTGCTCAAACTGGCCACTGAAATGCCACGGTTTTGCAGTTCGCAGATATGAGAGTCCACGAGAGACTTAGAGGACACACCACCAAAATTGTGGCATGATGAGGGTATGAATCACCTGACAGGTACAGGTATTTGCAGACATCAGGGAGCAACTGAAATAATTATAATTGATTTTCCATGTCTGGTTGGCAGTATGGCAAACAACACATCCCTGCGATTTATGACTGCGAGCAAGGCTTTCTTTTGATGTTCAGTGAGACTTTCAATCTCTGGAAAATGCTCCTCGAGTGCCAAAGTCAAAATTTCTTTGAAGACACTGTCAGAAACATAATCCATGTCAAACACAGGCAAATCTTGAACGTGTACAAACTGAGAACTGAAGTACTTTGCAAACAAATTCCTTCCCTGCTAGAGAGGCAAAATTTACCTCAAGAAGTGCAGTGCCGTGACAGATGTCCCCACTGTCCCCTCGGTATTACCAATCAAACGAACCAATCATATTGATTTGTGTGTTTGTAAAAATATCAACCAATCTGAGCCCGAGGGCCAGATCCTGACCCTGGCATCTGCATGAAAGTGAGATTCAAGTCCAAAGTAACCAGAGGTTTTTCTTTCTCGCCGCTTCGCAACTCGTGTTTTCACTGCTTCGCGGCTCTTTCGCAGCTCTCTCATGTGGAGAAAAATCAAGAAAAACCTCTGGGACCAGGGTACCAATCAGGTAAAAGGAAACAAAACCCAGAGTCACCTTATTCATTAATTGAGGTGGCCGAACACAGTTTTCGAGTGCGCTTTTGCTTATGCAATTCAGCGTGCATACAAGGATTGCAAAAAACAAACATGCCGTCAATAGAGCGATTATTTTATTTACTCAACACCTGCACAAGCTGTGCTATTTTCCTGTATAATTGAGCGCAGTGTAATGATGGCTTTAGTCTTTTATTACAAACATATGTTAGAAAAGGTAACAATGCAAAGAACCCAGCAATTCTCAGCTTTTTCTTTGTTAACGAAAGGACTCTGTTAAATGCAGCGCATGCGTAGTAAGTAAAAAAACTGTGATTGAATGAAAAATTGCACTCTCGGAAATACGTCTATTTCTCGAGAACCACTCATTAGAATTTCATGAAATTTGGCACAAAAATACTTTAGGAAATAAGTAACTGGAGTATTGAAAAAATTGAACTTTAACAAAGGAAATTCTAGATATTCCAGTGAACCTTCGACAAGGGATAATTAAAGATCTCTCTCACTGTTAAATTATTAGCAAAATGGTGTTAACTTGTGAGAATTGTTACAAGCTTGTTGCATGCAAATTATAAAGAAAATCTAATGACTAGACTTTCCACAAATAAACAAAACTAATTTTAAAGGCCTATTTATATTTATTCATGTTGCCATGACAACGGCACATATGTCAGCTTGACCATCAAAAAACCAAAGTTGATGTTGTTAACTTGCTTGCTGCCATTTTTGGCGACTGAGGGATCAAGGGTTTTAGAGAAAAAGGTGAATGAAACACAGGTATCAAAACCTGTGTTCAGCCACCTTAAATTAACTTGAAAAACACAGCTCAAGCTGTTGTCGGGGGTGGCAAATTATGGTGCACAGAAGTTCACGGGTCCTGGAAAGTGTTCATCTGATCTTGAAATTTCATTTCAAACACATGTCATTTTGTATTCTATTTTCACAGTATTGAAAGAAGGTGATTAATGAAAAAATTGTGTGGTCCCTGCACTTGTTTCCAAGAAAAACGATGGTTTGTCTCTCCTTAGCCAAGCTGTTGACAAAAAGCCACCATGTTTTTTATGTACATGATATATTTCTGGGCCGTAAAGATGCGCAATGCAATACAGTGGAATCACCTTAAAATTGTTTAAGCTCAGTCTGGCATTTTCAAACAAGGATCTCGGCATCTCTACTGTCTGCAAATCGTGGTCCCAAAATTTCTCACTCATTGTTCAGTGGAACCCTGTTACTCTGGTCGCTAATGGGCCACAAAAATCTGGTTGTATTAAGGGGATGGCCGAATTAAAGGGGTTCTGTAAATAAGAAAATGACTGACTGAGCTTTTGTTTGGGCCAGAATAAAGTGGTCGTAATAACAAGGTGGCTGTATTAATGGGGTGTCCATAAGGCAGGGTTTCTCTGTATAATTGGAAAAAGGATAATTACACTCAGTCAACAAGCATGTAAATGTACATGAAAGCTTGATCTTTCCTTTGATTGCCTATTCCTCAGCACCCCTAAACTCAACAAACATCTAAAAGAAGATGCCGAGGTTGTCATTATCGGTGGTGGGGTCCTGGGCACCAGTATTGCATATCATCTGGCCAAACAGGGTATGAAGGATGTTGTCCTCCTTGAAAAATCTGAATTAACGGCTGGATCGACATGGCATGCGGTAAGTAATTAATATATCCCCCTGATATTATCTCATTATCTATATTGAGAACCAGAGATAGACTTCTCTCATATATTTTTACCTGAGGTCCTAATTAGGGACTTTTGAGAGACGGGATATTTTCATAGGTAAAGAGATTAACCAAATATGGAATATTGGGGAAAACATTGATGGCCAGGGATAATAACCTTTTTTCCGGGATATCAAGTAGGAAAAAAAATTGAAATTTACAGGATGCAAGACATTTAAACCAGAAATTAAGAGGATATGGAATACTCAGACCTCCCAAGCGCACCTCCCCTCCCCCCTCCCCCCCATGATGGAGCCTGATGTTCCTACCTTGAAAATTGGGAGATTTTCATGTATTTAGGTCTTATTTGGTTTACAAGTGCATTTTACTCTGGACATGAAGAATAGACTAAGGGTTTGAATGTTGGTGAGACATCTACATGCTACAGGTAATTCTTAAGTTGTACCTCTCTCCACTTAATCGCTACCTGCAAGGTGTTGGTAGGAAACCCTGTACATTGCATTGCAAATAAAAATAGAATGCCACCACAAAAATAAGTTCCATGCAGCTAATCAGAAGTAAGATCATTAACAGCAGCCCTTGGAGTGAAATTTAAAGTGCACAAGCTAGATTCCCCACATGACGGAGCGTGATGATCACTTAATGCACGAACATTTCAACTAAAGCTGTCACTCTGCCTAAAATGTTGATGTCACATTAAATTTATCTTGCAGGTGATCTGGTTTTGTGAGTTCATAGATACAGTGTGTACATGCAAAAATTATTACTTTCAGGTACAACCCCATTCTGACCATTTTTTTTTTCAGGCTGGACTGACAACATATTTCCATCCAGGGATAAATGTGAAACACATCCATTATTATAGCATTCAGCTGTACTCAAAACTGGAAGAGGAAACTGGGCAAGTGAGTAGAATTACAAGTAGCTTCATATAGAATGAGTGATACAGCCTTCATATGGCACCATGTGGTAGAAAAGCTCTCGATACCTGCCATCTGCTGGCAATCAAGATGTAGGCTAGATACCTTCACTGGGAAGAAGTTCAATTATTAAAGAAAATCATTGTCAACTATATGAAGCCATAATGTGCTTGAGCAGTCTTGAGGCAACAAAATCATAATTTACCATTAAATCATTCTTCAATTTGTTGAAATCTTCAAGAGCCTCTTACTAAAAAGTATATCATCCACCTTAATTTACTTAAGTCTGTGTTTTCTTAGGAAGTTAGTTTCCACAAGCCAGGGAGTCTGAGGTTATGTACAACACCTGACCGTATGGATGAAGCTAAATATCAGATGCAACGGCAAGGGTGGCACAAAGCGCCACAGTGGCTTGTTACTCCTGAGGAAATTGCAAAGATGCATCCTCTTCTTAAAATGGACGATGTCTTGGGTGGCCTCTTTAACCCTGGTCAGTTTTATGGCATATGTTATAAATGAACAAGTTTTATGGCTGCATTGTGAATAATTTTGATAACTACTGATGCAGCAGTCACAAAGCAAAGGCAACTGTTGCAGCCTGACCTTATGGTAAATTAAAATTGAAATTAAAATAAAATTAATTTTGTAAGTGCAGGACTTACACAAAACTGAGATGTAAGTGTCAGGCGGGTGTGTAATTTCATGAAGTCCTGACCTGTGTAACTCTGTAGAAATTATACTCAAATTATAATTACGGTTCCAAAGTCATGGAATTTACAATAGTTACAAGTTGACACACTGACAGGGTGCACGAAAAGAGTCTACTATCGAGTAACAACATTGTAGAGACCATCAGGAGCAGTTCATTGAACCGAGGGATTTCTTGGAATACAATACATTATTCTAACAGCCTTAACTAGTGGATGATTGCAGATCATACAGATTACTGGCATTGTATTATGTTTCAAAATGAATGTGAAAATGTAGTAAAGTTTCTCTTCACAAATAACAGTTTGAAATCTGTTTTTTTATTGACAGATGATGGCCATATCGACCCTTACTCACTGACTCGAGCACTGGCCATTGGCGCCAGGAAATACGGAGCTGATCTCTACATGCCAGCTCCTGTCACTGGACTCAACCACAGAACAGATGGTTGCTGGGATGTGCACACAGAACATGGAACCATCAAGGCAAAAGAAGTCATCAATGCTGCAGGTAGTTCTGGTTTGCATGTCTCGATATTATTTTTTTCCAGAGCTGTTAAAATTATGTACATGTACATGTATCTGTTATCCAACCACAATATTTCTTTTATTACTGATATTGTCTTATAATTAGTGGCTTGATTATAAACCATTTTGAATTAATTGTTTAGCATTTACTTGCATAGCTTGTGTTCAATATTTTGTTTCTACTTGTAATCTTGACTCATGTCAGAAGTCATGATTACTAACTGCTTCATTATCTGGTAGAATTGTATTTGTTTGAGGAAATTGGATAATCTGACTGAAAAAAGAAATCAGCAATTAAGTTATTATCAGTGGGGTTTGTGTGTTCCAGAGAACAATCCATACCTCCCCCACAGTAGGTTTTTAGTTAAACCCCCGCCCCCTACTACTTAGTTTTTTTTGTTATACTTTTTTTCATTGATAATACTGTTTAAAAATTTCCCAGGATTCTCTGGGTGTGAGTTGGGAGGGGGTGAAGTGGGGAGGGGTGGGTATATTGGGTATTTTCTGAAAACTACACTTCATTATAATAATGGTAAGTTACTGTTAGTAAGACTTTCACATGTGTATACTGTAGTCATATGTGCTATTTATGCATTAGATACATGGTTACTGTATGACATTTTTTTATCAATACAACTGTTCCCTATATTGTTCGTAGGTTTCTGGGGCCGTGAAGTTGGCCTGATGGCAGGAATGGATCTTCCTCTCGTAGCCATTCACCATCAGTATGTTGTCACGTCCACCATTCCTGAAGTCGCAGCTCTCAAGCATGAAGTACCTGTGATAAGAGATCTTGAAGGCTCTTACTATTGCCGTCAGGAGAGGCAGGGGTTGCTGTTTGGACCTTACGAGCATCCTGACAAGATGAAGTTACAAGAAGAATGGTACATTGTTGATATTGCTAATTAAAATCTTGTTATATTGAGGCATGTAGGAGAAATGGAAAACTTTTCTGTGTTTCTGTCAAGTTATAGAACACAAGTGGACATTGGGGAAGAGAACTGCTGAAGAAGCACTTAGTCACAGATGAGTGTTTCAAAGGCCTGCCTTTCCAAGTTCTCCCAAAATTTCTTAAGAGTTTCAATCTGTGTTTATAGAAACACCAGGAAATATTTTCTTCTAGAAAACGCTGCAAAAAGAAAAAATCACACATGTATTGACTATCAAAATGTAAATTCGTGGCTCGTAATATTGCTACAGAAACCAAAGATTAGCACTGGCTAATTGTATTAACATCTTGCGCTAGTTCTGTGTTTCTACCAACCAGAAGCATATAGGTGATATGCTTCTGTATCAACTTACTGGGTGTTTTTTTTTTTTTTAATTGATGACTCGTCAGTAAAGTTGCATGCTGCTTGGCACAGACTTTATAAACAGGTAAAGTCTGCCAAGTGGCCCATTTGGCCAGTGCTAATCTTTGGTTTTTGTAGCATGAAGTGAAGTCCTAGGAGCATTTCTACTCTCAGCTGGATGGGATGCTAGTTCATCGCAGGGCTACCNCCCCCCAGCATTAAATTTTCCAGTACCCATAAACCTGGGTGGAAAGAGGCACTGTGGAAGTAAAGTGTTATGCCAAATAACACAACACAATGTCCCTGGCCAGGGCTCAAAGCCAGACTGCTTGATCCAGAGTTGAGTGATCTAAAAAGGAGTCCACCACCCCACCCTCAGTCACATGTTATACAGTGCAATGTATAATATAAAGCTTTAATTTCACTCCGACCTAATTAGAGCTACAGAGTTCTAAGATTTTAATACACTGCATATGAATGATATATCTGAAGGTGGGATGGTGTGACACCAGGCTTTGGAAAGGAACTGTTTGAAAGCGATCTGGACAGAATCAGTGACAATACAGCCGCAGCGATGGAGCGTATACCTGTGTTGGCAGATGCAAACATTGCAAGTGTTGTGGCAGGACCTATAACGTACAGTCCGGATGTGCTGCCAATGATAGGCCCTGCTTTTGATGTTCCCAACATGTGGCTAGCTGTTGGAACTGGCTATGGTATTATACATGGAGGTACGCCAATCAAATGCGATTGAAAAATTAAGGGTGTACTGCACTGTACACGCTAACAAGGCAAAGAAGGGGGGTAAAGGGGAAGGGGGGGGTGTGGGTAGGTGCTCTGGCACAGTGTAAAACCTGAGATTGAGGAACATCGATGTAACCTAAAAGAAAGACCCTTTTTTCTTGCATAAAGCAGAAAGACCGCTACGGCCTGTAAGTTGCATGTACATGTACATGTATTTGCAGTTAATGTTTTATTTGTAAATGGGACAATAAAGTACTGTAAAACAGTTATTTTCACATAAGAGTGTGGTCCAAGAGAGTTATCTTCTTTCACTGCAAGTGACTATTGTATTAGGCCCACAAAAAGCCCTCAGATTGCAAAGTTTAACCCGAAAAGAACACCTTTGCACCTCCCTACCACTTGAATTATATCATCTGATTTCCCTCTCCCCTCACTGTACATTGCATTGATCTGTTATCATTTATGTGAAAGTTTTCAATTGCGGGATTGAAAGTGTATATAGGAGAAACAGACACATTGTCCTAGAAATTATGACTTGTAATACGTAATTGAAAAATATTGCTGAGGACATTTTGTTCAAGTATGCCAAGGAGTACCGGTAAATGGAGGATGATACATGATATAAATATGATTATTTTTCAGGTGGTATCGGCAAGTATATTGCCGATTGGATGATGGAGGGGGAGCCACCTTACGATCTGAATGAGCTTGATCAGGGTCGTTATGGCAACTGGACAACAAAGGACTATGTGATGGCTAAGACAAGAGAGTCCTATGGCTATAATAACCAAACTGGTCACCCCAAACTTGAACGACCAGCTGGACGTCCAGTAAGAAAGAATGCTATTTACGAGGTTAGTATTACACCTACATACTTAAAAGTACACGTATATTAAATCATTTTACTGGCCATCTGTTTACTGCCCCTTTTTGTAATCAGTAACGTGCAAACTCTGAAGTTCAGATGCATTCAATGTGTTTCTGAAGAACGTTGACTCTTATTGCTTTCTTGTTTTTAACTAGCGTCTCGTGGAGCGAGGTGCAGAAATGGGATTTCATGTTGGTTGGGAGCAGCCAAACTGGTTTGCGCTTCCAGGTGACGATGGAGGTTACAAGCCAAGTTTTCACAGGACAAACTGGTTTGAGCCAGTTGGGCGAGAATATGACTTGGTATTGAACAAAGTTGGTGTTATTGATCTGACGCCATTTGGGAAGTTTGAGGTGAAGGGCAAAGATGCGTCGAGATTTTTGGATGTCATGGTTGCTAATGTTTTACCAAAGGTAAATAAATTAAATTTTTATAAGACACAGTAACTGTACACAAAACGTTACGAAACGTAAGTGAGAAAGCTCTAAAATACAAAAGGCTATATAAGACAACAGAAATGTCTTNGAACTGAGCATGAGAAGACTGACAAACAATATGGAATCTTATAACACAGCGTCATCTCAAACTAAACCTAGATTCTCTCTAACTTTCAGCGATGGTTTTGTAATTCTCTTAGGCCTAGTAGCAAGAATGGGTGTTACAGGGGGTACTTGAATGTCTTCCTTTGTAACGGGAATGTCCTTCCGAACAGGTGTTGGCGCTTTGTCCTCAGCGGGAACTTGGTTCACCATTGGTGTCGGTCGCTCATGTTGCTCCCGCTGATTTGGCAGTGGAGTAAGGTGAATACGGTTTCTTCTTATCGTGCTGGTCGGTGTTTCAACTTTATACGACCGAGGTGTTGATGCTGCTTCAATGACTTTTTCTGACCGCTGAAGGTCCTTGACGAAAACGTCAGTACCCGGTCCAATTGAAGGCAAGGGCTTGGCTTTGTGCCTCATGTTGAACACTGTTTCCTGCTTCAATTTGCTCATGCTTTCTCTGCACGCAGGTTATCCAAGTCAGGCCAATGTGGGCTCATCTGGGTGTGGAATAACGGAACGCTGTTCCTAATCTGCCTTCCCATCAGCAACTGAGCAGGAGAGAACTTGCATGCTAGTGGTGTTGAGCGATAGGCTAGTAATGCTTTAGCAGGGTCTTTTTCCTTTGTTAGAAGATTTTTCACAGTTCTAACT